CCGAGGCGCGCGCAGTGAAAAAAGACCTTTTAATGATGAGCAAGAAACCCGGATAATGTAATGACGATGATGACTTTGGAGTCGGACAGCGGCTGGAGACAATCTGAAGCTTTTTTGTGGTAGGAGGTGGTTTAGACGCATTTAGAGGTCGCCTACGTGCCGTTGACAACATCAGTGCCTTTAAAAGGAGCGTTGCACAGTTGCATAGGATTTTGAACTGAAATGTCTTGGAGATCATTTGGTGTTGTTCTTCAGAACCCCTCTTCTTTCTGAGCTAAAGGCCTGCGAGGATGGGGAAAGCATTTCAAGGTCATCTTGGCAATTACGACTTCATGATGCCGTCATTCAAATTCTGCCATTCCATAAGCCATACGGCGACCAAGGCCAGGAGAAATAAAGCTGTTGAGTCGTTCATATTTGGCGTTCGTGGACACGATTTCCAGGGTGGCTCCCAATTAATGTTGTGCAAGCCACCATGACGCATTCAAACAATGACGTAATAAAGAGCCTGTTTACGAAACAGGGAAATCGTCCTGACTAAAGCAGTCTTTTTCGCTTAAAAGTATACCAATAGCTATAAGTAAGCTTATGTCATCACATCTGATGTCTGCTTCAATTTCTTGGCCCGGCTTCCCTTCATCCCTGACCCCGGGCCGGGGGTGGCCCGGCTTCCCTTCATCCCTGACCCCGAGCCGGGAGTGGCCCGCGGCGCCTGTGGGCGAGGTGCCGCCTTCCAAAGGCATCGCGCAGGCCGTGAAATAAATCCTGCACCCCTTTGCGGGTACAGGCATTCCAGGCTTGTCTGAAAGAATCGGAAAGTTGTGAATTTGTTTCAACGATGTGTGCGACACATGTCTATGGTGAAGCAGCAAGATGTGCTTAGATATCTTACAGGATGAGCTGTTTTGAGCCCATGCCCAGCGTTGTCCAGCAGCGACTACGGCACTATATTATACGAAGAAGTTGCCCCGGTAGTAACGATATAAAACCGATGGCATGCAGTCAGTGAATTCTGCAATGCCCACATATTTTCCCACAGAATGTGTTTTTCAACTCTAAAGATACCTGGCTGCTGACCATCACAAGCAAATAAAAAACCATCTTAAGAACACCCGTTATATCCGTTAATAGGGTTTGACAGGATCTTGTCATATGATTCGGTGCCTTGGACGGACTCCTATGCCCTGTCAGGCGGCATCTCAGACGGAATCCCATCTTCTGGAAGCTTGCATCTCAGACAGGATCACATGCTTCGCCAGCCCGCCTCTCAGACGGGATCGTCTGTCTGGTCGGCCCGGGGCACAGCACGGCACATGCCCGTAGATTGTGACAACCCCGCAACTGACGCACCGCAATCTGATGGCACCAGGGCATCTGACATGCCATCAGAGCCCACGGCGTCACGACGGCCGGCGTGGCGTCGCCGCAAGCGTCATCAGAGCTAACTGTTGCCATCACACTCCCATCCGTCATCGCTAATCACGCTCCCACCGCTCCGTCCCGCCGCCCCGCACTAGCCTTTTACCGGCCCGACGGGCGTGAGCCCTTTGTAGACACCATGCAATTACCGCCGCGACAGCCGTGCACGGCGGGCCCGCGGAGCGCGGGCGCGGGCGACCGACCGTCGCAGGCAGACCGCGGGGCCACTAACGGCGACACCGAGCAGACCGCGCCACCAGACCTGCGGTGTCAATTGACACAGGCCGAGTTATTATCCGCCCAATTGAATGGCAAATTGGCGCCATTATTGCGCGTCGGGCGGCGCGAGCGGTTGCAGGGCGGCGCGGCGCCATTCGCGGCCGGTAATTAGATGAGTGCTTGTGTCGGCCGCTTGCTCACCTTTGTGCCGACAAGAATGGCCAATCGGGTGAGAAGGAGGTGGGGGTGGGGAGGGGCAGGCGCCGCCGTCGTGACGCCAGTAAATTATCGGTATTGTTGCAGCTGGCTTTTGTCGGAGCTGCGAGATTGCCATCCGGGCTGAGCAGGGCGTGGACCCATTGGTGGCGTCGGAAATATCGGTGACACGGCGTTTGGGATGCAGGAGGGTAACGGTCACGTCAGAAGCTCGCTGGGCGTGGAAGTGACAGCCTAGATCACGTACGGACGAAGTCGGTAGAAATGTCTGCCTGGGTTAGTAGTTACGACTTAGTCACTTCACGTCCATTCACGCACTCGACATCGGTCGTGGGCAATTAGAGAGCATAGAGAACATTCGGATATGCTCGTGTGCATAGCAATATACTTCGTCACGGTAACCCAGTAATTTACATCTACTCATAGCGAAGCGATGAGCTTGTAACTTTTTGTTGTTTTACGGGGATGGCGTCATTCCTCGGAATACCATACGGGCGTGGACGTCCCTCCTTCGCCACTCTGGTAAACAAATAAAGCTATTACGCTCCTTACCTACCAACTAACAATCTTTTTGTGACCGTGCGCGGTAAATCAAGTAGTTATTAACCGAAGTTAGCGGGTCTCCCCGAAGCGAACAGACACCGAACGGAGCCGGAGGCAGCCGTCAGTCAGGCTCGGCGTCCGGGCGGCTGTTGGAGTGACCCGGATTACCTCAACGCGACCTTGCCGCCGCCCGGGGCGCCGCTGCCCGGCACACGGGGCACCCGCTGCCCGGCACACGGGGCGCCCGCTGCCCTGCACACGGGGAAGGTTGCCCGGCACACGGGGCGCCGCTGCCCGGAGCACAGGGCAGGCTGCCCGGCTCACGGGGCGCCGTTGCCCTGCGTACGGGGTGCCCGCTGCCCGGCACACGAGGCGCCGTTGCCCGGCGTACGGGGTGCCCGCTGCCCAGCGCACGGGGCGCGCACTGCCCGGCGCACGAGGCGCGTACCGCCCGGCGCACGGGGGCGCGCCGCCCGGCGCTCCGGCACGGTGCGGTGGCTCGCGGGCGGGCCGGTGGAGGACGGAGGGGGGGGGGGGGGGGGCAGCGGGCGGGACACGGCTCCGCGTCCGCCCCCGCGCCAACATGGCGGCCCGGCGAACCACACCGCCCCAATTACCGGCATTTGAGCCGACAAACCGCGCTGCCAAACCACGGCAGCCGGGCCTCCGCGGCAGGACTCGAACTGGCCGTCGCCGGTGGCGGTCAAGGCGGGGGCTGGGCGGCTGCGCGCGCGCGCACTCATCGGAAATTCTAATAGCGCCGATAAGCGGCGGGGGCATCAGCGGGCTATTTTCAATTAGTTTCGATAGGATCTTATAATGAGGTGCGCGCGATGCGAGCGCGGGCGCGGCCGCTGCAGGTCTCCATTACTGCGGCGGCGCGGTGCGGGACGGGGGCGGACGTCCGGTCGGAGACAGCGGCGGACCGGAGGGACGCGCAAACTGGGCCGCTCGCGCCGCTCCGACTGGGCGCCGCAGATGCTAGGGCGGGTCATGCAGCAGCCAGAGCTGGGCCTGCAAGAGCTGGATTTGGCAGAGGCTCAGCTGGCATCGAAGGGAGCTGAACTGATGTGGGGAGGTTGGGCCGACCAGCACCGGGCAGCAGGGCGTTCTGTTAGCTCTGCATCACAGCCAGCCGTGCTGGCTGGTGCTGCAGGGGGAGCTGAACTGACCGTGGCGCTGGAGCTGCGTCCGGGCCCGCATCTCGGCACGAGCCCCCGGCTGGCCCCCGGCCCGGGTCGGAGCCACGGGCCAGTTTCGGGAGCTCAGCCCGCAGCCCAGCAGCGGGTCACGTGTCAGCGACACGGGCTCGGCACCGGGCGGTTTTCCTCACGTCGCCGCTGCGATAGTGCATTGGAAGCCGGCTGGTTTCCGAATCACCCCCCATTTCATGCAGGGAATTGGCCGCCATCACCGCTCGAGGCTGCTCCATTCCACCCAGGAAGGGCGGCTGCCAGGCGCGGGAGTCCCCGTCGTTTGTCTGGAACTGGGCGTGGCGGTCGCACCGACCAGGCGGCACCGGTCAGCCCAGCGCCGCGATGGGCGGAGATGGACAGGATGAAAGCGGTGCCGTCAACAGGCATAGATGAACTGGCCAATGCCTGGCCGGGCCGCAATCGACTGGCAGGCAAGCACCGGCGCGTCAAACATGCCGAACTGTGGTGATCGATCACCCCGCACGTCCCAGCAACGTGATGGACGAGTTGGACGGCGCTTGTCAAATATTGCTCGGCGCGGCTGAGTGTGTCACTTGGCTTCATTCGCCGGATGGTCCATAAACGGCCAGTAAAGAATCCGACGGGTCGACGCCAGCCCGAAGTTGATGCCCATTATGGCCGCCTTCGGCGTTCGACTCAATTGAGCGATGGTGTTTTGATCTGCATAAAGCTGACGCCGAAATGCCAGCTTTAATAATGATGATTACCAACGATTCGTTTCGGAGCTATCTGGCTTGAATGGTGTTGCGAGCCCAGTTGGACAGCGGGAGTTCTTGGGCAGTCATCAAACAAAGCACCCCGTTCTTAGCACTCGGAAACATGTGTGAGCACGACAATTTCAGCCCTGGTTATGCTTAATTAGTTTTTTCGTCTTTGGCATCAAGAGTTTTTATTAGTTTTCATCGGACGGGGTTAATGAAATGTCAACACAAGGGCAATAGATGGTAACCTAATAAGCACCAGGTCTGTAATTAAAATCACGAACACACTCAGTACGCATGCTGAATGCATGCATCCATCACTCTCTCTCTCTCTCTCTCTCTCTCTCTCTCTCTCTCTCTCTCTCTCTCTCTCTCTCTCTCTCTCTCTCTCTCTCTCTCTCTTCTCCTCTCTCTCTCTCTCTCTCTTTTTTCCTCTCTTCCTCTCTCTCTCTCTTTTCTCTTTCTCTTCTCTCTCTCTCTCTCTCTTCTCTC